AGAGAAGACACTGGTCTGCACTGCAGGTGTTCAATAATACCTCATTTAAATCACGAGAGACACAAACTTTGCGACAGCTAGCTAGATAGCTAACGTTTACTAGCTAGTTTGTTGGATGTAGATGGATAGCTAAGGTAAGCTAGTTAGATACATAGCCAACGTTAGCTAGCTTGAGTAACGGGTGGATAAATAGCTAACAGTGATTGGTAAATGGCTAATGTTCACTAGCTTTAATAGCTAACGTTCGCTAGCTAAATAGGTAAAGTCGGCTAGCTAAATAGCCTATGTTGATTGGTAAATTACTTATTTTTACTAGCTAGATAGCTCGAATTTGCTAGCTAAATAGCTAATGTTCACTAGCTGAGTAGCCAATATTCGCTAGCTAGATAGCCGACGTTCGCTAGCTAAATAGCTAACTTTGATTAGTAAATGGCTAATCTTTACTTGCTAAATAGCTATCAGAACGTAATAAGAAGTAACAACAAAACGTCAACTCTTTTACAGAAAGATAAACCCATTTGAAACGTCTTCAAAGAGCTTCCGTGATGTTTTTATTGATATATCTAACAGTTTGGGGCCTTGCTCATTGGGAGATGTCTGTAATTTAACCTTTAAGGTGCTTAATGTCCACCAGGGATTCAAACCACTGACTTTTTATCGCTGTTTCTCATTTTTCAATCAAAAATCTCTCTAACACTTGAGTTAGTTCATCACACATGAATGGAAACTGTTAGCTACCGTTTGCTAATGCTAATTTGATAATTGTTCACATATTTTGTTTTTTTGTTTTAATTAAGAAAGTGTAATAATTGCTTTGATAGAAAATCACTAAAAGCATGTGACGAGTGACTTGTTTGATTCTGTAGATACTAAACTGAAGAGATTAATAAAAAAAAGTATTTTTATGAATTATGTTTAAAGGTGTGTTTATTTAGACTGGAACCACTTTCTGTGTGTGTGTGTGTGTGTGTGTGTGTGTGTGTGTGTGTGTGTGTGTGTGTGTGTGTGTGTCAGTCATGGTATGTCTTTGTCACAGGAAGCTGAGTAGCAAATGGTGTTGACAGCAAAAATACAGAAACTTGTGTGTGTTATTATTCCCACACAAACAAAAAGTTCCTGTCTCAGTCTGACACGCTGTGGATGAAAGATTGTGATTAACATTCAACACATGTAGACAGCATGGGAACAAGTGTGTGTGTGTCATTTGTCATGTCTTTGTGCGACACATTCACGGCCGTGTCATGAAGGATAAAGGGAGATAAATTACATCTCATCTCTCATTATTCTTATTTTATTCATCTCCTGTCACACACACACACAGACACACACACACACGGACACACACACATACACACGGACACACACACAGGCTTCGACTAATCAAAACACAACTAGAGTTTAGGAAAAAAAATTGTATAGATGTGTTGTGTTTTTAATATTAACAATATAGGCAATACATTAAAGCAAAGAAAACTAATGAGGAAAAATACATTTGATAAACCAAAAACAATTCAAACAAAGTAAACAAAACAATGAGACGCAGGAATGATATATTTAAAAATGTAAATATATACAGAAATAAATGTTAAAATCCAAAGAATATTTGAGGGGAAAGACTCAAAAAGCACAACAGCCTCTTTGTCCCTTTAGCCTCACCTGTTAGCTTCATGCTAATTTAGCTGTTTGTCTCCAGTAATCTGCGGCTTTATACTCCAAACATCTGACCCTCCCCTAAACTGCTGGAGAGCATACACGCACACGCACACACACACACACACACACACACGCACACGCACACACACAATCAATTAAAGCTCCTCTCAGCTGTCTATCACCTTCATTCAACACACAGATCATCTTTCAGTCATTCAACAGCAGCCTCAGCAGGGGGTGTGTGTGTGTGTGTGTGTGTGTGTGTGTGTGTGTGTGTATAATCTTCCCCTAATCCTCTTCCTAAATCTTCTTCTCTTCCTCTTTAAAGGCAGCAGGAGAATAAAGGAATTAAGAAGTTAAAAGTCAGTCAATTACCCAGAATGCCTCTTTTCACACACTCACATTTCATTTGGGATGTTTTTACTCTTATTTTTCAAATTTTTGGAGAATGATTTTTGACGCTGTTTCCCTCAATTTTATATTAATATTATTTGGAAGATTTCGAAACATATTTTACTAAAATGGTTTGTATATTTTTCAGTGTTTATTTTCCACCTTATTTACTAATTGTATTATTAGCTTAAGAAATAGTAGAGTTTCCACACATTCAAGACTTACACATTTTGAGATGGTTTCCACTAGCAAGTCCTCACAAAGTATGATGTACAAGAACTCTCTCTCACACACACTTCTACCACAAAGCCAACCAAAAGAACTCATAATTTCCACCACAGCAAATGTTACTCACACACACACACACACACACACACACACACACACACACACACACACACACACACACACACACACACTCTCTCTC